CGCTGCATACGTTTAGAAAAGTGCTCACAGTTCCCCCAGTTTTATCTGCCCTTTCCTCAAATGAAACGCTTAAGAAGTGGGAGACTAACTAACGCAGGGAGAGACAGAGCAAAAGGCCCAGAGAGAGAGAGAGGGAGACCGAGAGGCCTTTTCTGACAGTGGCTTTTGTGTCTCACTGAACAGGATTTGTCACGAGGCTTTAAAAGAGATTTCAGCCGGGTAAATATGGCAGTTTTGACAGAAAGAGAGGGAGATGATGGTCACTTTAGACGTTTCTTGAGGAGGTAAAAAAAAACATTCTTATATACGGTGGCAATGCTCGGGTTTATTGTGGCGCGCAGGACCATCTGTGTATTCATGATGTTTCAATAGAGCCAGGATACACCGTCCAACTAAGTTAGAATTAGCAAATGAATGAAAAAATAGTGAATTCACGCTGAAGTAAGCAGGTGTGACAAATTCATTGAGCTGCATTTGAAATGCTGCCATGTTTAGTGACTAGAACCTCGCCTGTGACGGAAGTGGAGTTTGGGTTTAAAAAAAAAAAGTGGAGGTAGTCTGAATGTGGATGCTCAATAAACACACTCTATTTGTTTAGTTTAATCTGAAAGTTTTTCCTTGATGGGAGAAAATGTGCAGATTATGTGCCGGTGTGTGTGTGTGTGTGACTGTGTTTGTATGTCATGGGTAGCCTTGATCTATGCAGAGCTCTAATACATAGCCAAATTAATCTATCAGTCCACGGTTACACACACACACACACACACACACACACACAAACACACCCACACACACACAGGCAGGTGGTGGAAATCCCCGTCACAGCAGCAGCCCTCTCTGGAGAGCAAACCCGGCCGGGTCCAATATCCTTTTGAAAGCCTTTTATCGAGCAGTTTACAAGTTATGAATGAATATGTTTTATTTGGGGAAACACGGTATTGACAGCCACCTATCAATAGTAATGTGACTATTGTCAAGGGTCTGTCAATATTAATGTAATTATGATGTAGAGGGATCAGAGGGATGCCGGAGTCGGGGGCCAAGTAACATCTCCTGCCCACTGCCATATCAATAGCTGGGATTGCTATTGACAGCTTCCCTTCAGACTTGCAGCACTTGCCAAATATATAACAAGCAGACACTTCAGTCAATGCCGGGCTGCCTATAAAAATTAAGCATTTGAATTTACAGCACTTTTACCGTGGACAGCTGGAAATCCATGTTCCTTATGTAATAGTCAAAAGTCAAAGTCAATGCCAGTGTTTACAGAGCACGGTGTGCGATAGAGGACAGACATTTGCACGCAAAATGTACACACAGATACAAGCGGACTGACTCTTTCTCTGATGAATTCACTCAGACACACACCTGAAGTGATACATAGAATTGATACTTTTCGCGTGGGTCAGCCAACCAGAGACAAAATGCCCTCTTTTTGAAAGGAGTTCACAAAAATGGACAAAACATCTAGGGTCTTCATTATTGGAACTAGCTTTTCTGTCAAAGCTGTATAAAACACTTTAAGAAAAACATCTTCCTGGGAATATTAAAAGGTATTTTTGATTCAGGTCAGATAAGAGGGTTTTGTCTCCCCTTGTTCCCTTAGCCCGTGCATCTTGTTCCGACAAAGATAGTACACTGACTCAAGGCTGACTGCCGTAACTTACAGCCAACAACAACAACAATATCCAATCTAACAGGGAACACACAGCAACACCGCCTCAAGGCGAAAGGGACCAGTGTGAGGAAGGAAGGAGAGGAAACAAAAGCGTACGGAGCATCAGACGGAAGCTGCACCGAGTGCTCTGGAAATTAGACAGCGAGCAGTAATGACAGCTAACAAAAAGATGGATAGATAAAGACAAAAAAATATGCTTCAGGAAACCTCTAAGCTACTGTCCACTGATACATTGAAGGGGAACTGGGGGAAATGATAGCTAAGGAGACAAAATGAGAGAGGGGAAAACAGATAAGCACAGACCTCTCCCCCTGAGCTGACCTTGAGACTGACGGTCACAATAAAGGAGGAGGGAACCTTCCTAAAGCACAGCCACGCTGAGGTGCATCCAGGGAATAGCCTATAGAAAGAGGAAGGATGCACTTTCTTCTTGACCTTGGCTTTGGTGTCTAGGGAGGGGATGAGGCTGTTTAGGGCAGGGGACTAAAGACTGAGGGATGCTGGGAAGGTGGCGTATCTCTAGGGTATTTTACTGCAGGGGACAAGGGCTCTGAAGCTGCTAACGAGGCTATCAGTACATGCCTTTCGGAAACTATGCGTCCAAAAGTCTCAATTTAGCTTCTGGCGTGGGGCAGGGCTCAAATTCCTGAGCACTTAGCAATGGTTGTTAGCATAATATATTTGCTGAAATAATGCATAAACGTTCTCTTGGCCTTCTATGATGCTTGTAGCGAGAAATAGGCTATGCATTGGCAAAGCATGCTGAATTACAACTTTACATTTTCTTCTCTCGCTCATGTAAATTAATTTGTGTAAAAGCTCTAGTGAATAAAACCTATTTCTCTGAGCACCCTGTGTCATTTTTTCCCCCTCGCTCCCGCGCCCTCACTTTATTGCCCTTCTTTCGCCAGGAACGAGAGCAGGCCTATTAGCCACGGCCTTCTAATGTCCTCACTATGAAAACGGATGAGAATGTCAGATTAAGAACTTTTAAGAGAGTGATGTCATACTGCAGACCACAGGCATTACAGGGACGCTAAGATTACCCAGGCGGTAACCAGACTAATTGTTATGAGTCTGTTTCATGAAAAATGAATGTGTGCAAATGCACAGAGGGGTCTTCAGGCTGTGTGTATGTGTGTGCGTTACACACTAATGCTTTATCAAGGCTCTCCCCTTTTTGTAATCACCCAAGACTACTCCGAGCCACGGGGTGAGGGCCAAGTTAATGCCTGCATGCAAAAAAAAATACACATCAGTTAGAATAGCACGTCTGACGTAGGAAAAAAAATGTTCTCTGCTTAATCTGGTTTGCTCCAGAGGTAAATTATTTAAGAGAATTAATTGATTTCATGAGTAGGAAGGTTGAGTATGCTAGGGCTGTATGAGTAATAAGTACAGGGGTTTGCGAAAAACAACTTAAAAAGTAATGAAACATTTAGAGGGCAGAGAGGCACAATGAACGTGGTAGAAAAAGGGGAACAGCTAATAAATGAGAGAACTGAAGTTGTGTCTTTCTTACTGAGAGAGCACTGTGGCCTCACCTCATGCAAATAAAATGTGTGGTACTGAGGAATATTTGATCAGCACATCTCTTAGCTTGTGCTTTATGCATGAACGCATTTTTCTGTTTTTTAATCTGTGCAACAATTAAAAAGCGAGTGAGAGTAGAAAATTCTACATTTACCGTCCTGTTAAATCAATGAGAATGGGAAAGCCACTGCAGGCTCAAAATGCTAATAGAGGCACCACACCATGCAGTCATAACACACTGTGGAGATGCTACTTTAAGGAATCCCTCATGTATATGTATGTTTCAATCACTTTTAGGAATTGGATTGCTGCCGTTGAAAATGTTACCCCGAAATGACATGCCAATATGTTATACTGTTACGTTTATTTCACTTTAAAGATGTGCCTTCTGGCAATGTACACAACTATGATAAAAACATACTGTGATACTAACAGAAACTGAATATGATGTATATAATTTAGCAGGATTAATTGAGCACGCGGGAGGTTCAGAGAACATCTGTAACATCTGTATGAATTAGCAGAAATACAACTGTGTGCACTGTTGGTCAGAAAAAATGTTTGTAACAATGTATGTGCAATATAATTTGTACTAAAACTATAAAGCTAATCCGTCAAGCGCACAGATAACCCCCTTGCCTTTATCACTTGACTTCATCTGGAAACTGTAGCCCATAAAATGACCTTATGACCCCAGAGTGAGATCACAGCCTAATTTAACTTCAGTGACTCTCTTAAAAACACACTCATTACACTAAGTGTTTAGCCCCAGAGACACACGTCTATACTCCAACCTCATGCAATCAGCAGCTCCACATTCCCCCTCATCAGGACATTGTCTCTTAATTTTTTAAGCCCATGCCCATCAGTCTTTAACAACAACAAAACCCAAATCTGCTCCATTTTGATAATAAGGCAAAAGCATTATGTGATAATCACAGTAGGGATTAGGTTTTGGCAGAGAGTGCAAGAGCAGTGCAGTCAAAGCCAGTGGAAAGGAGAGATATAGCCAAGAGACAGATAAGGGTAGAGGAGTGATGATTGGGATGAGAGAAATGAAGAGCAGTCTCTTGAAAATCAATAAGATCAACTTTGCCTTGAATCTTAATGTGGAAGGTTTGGATCTCTAGCACTGATTATTTAGAGGAATAATGGAATTATGTGCAGAGCAGTAGAACATACTCTTGAAGGGAAACACACTCACAAGGTTACCATCTAAAGTTGCAGTTGTGTAAATAAACCTGGATGTGGCTCGCGATGAATACTAATTATCATTTCCTCGTTTGAAACGTATGCACTATACACATTGACAGACATTGACAATCGATTTGATTTTTAATGAAAACATGCAGGCAAATGATACTCATAACGCGTCAAACATACAACACTGACAGCAGAAAGCAACACGCAGGGGATAATATTAAACGACGAGTCTTTACATCGTTTATAAAAGCAGATGTTCTGCATTTGAGCTTTCCGTAGAACTAACACGGTATTCAGGAATATCATCCAGACTTTAATGATCGCTAAGCAAAACAACAGATCTGTATTTACCCATTTCTTTTTGGCGAACTCAACTCAGTCCTCACTGATTACACGAAAACAATGTGTATTTCCGGGTTGTGGATGTAAAACCCGCCCCTTAAAGGGAAACCACCAATAGTGTGGAGAAACGTCACGACTATGAAGCCAAAGGGTAAAAATCAGCCAATCAGATCGCGCAGCGGTACGGCAGCGGCAAACTGTGGGAGGGAGTGTCAGTGTGAGTGGGAAATACGTCTGTTAAAGTCCTCCGTTGTAGTAACGGCAGATAGCGACCAAGTTGTTGGTGAAGCCACGGTAATTAACATAAAACCACACATATAATGTCTTACATGCACTCGTTATGCAAGGCACATACTTGTTTCAGTTGGCGTCACAGTTGTCAGAAAATGTAAACTATAAATATGTGAAAAGTTTGAAGCAAGCGTGGCAAGCAGTCATTAAGAGTGTTAGCTAGTTAGCTTAAAAAGTGCGTGTACTGTATTTGAGCCACGCTGAAAACGTTCACTACCATGAGCAAAAAGACAACTTCACCGGAGTCAGGCGAAAACGTAAAGCTTTTGGGACATGAAAGTGATAATTGGAACCTGCCACCTCCCCCAGAAGAGAAGCTGGAAGTTTATATCCACGACTCAAACAACATTAAACAGCTTGTAAACGAGTTCAAGGGACTCCACGTGCAGAGATTGACATGTCTCGAGCTGGACACCACTTGTTTAAACAAAGAGGAACGGCAGCAGGTGAGTAAATACGTCACAGATAGAGCGTGTAATTTATGTTTCATTGGTAGTGTGGCCGAGCGGTCTAAGGCGCTGGATTTAGGCTCCAGTCTCTCAGGAGGCGTGGGTTCGAATCCCACCACTGCCATTATTATCATTTAAGTTTCTCGTGATGACTGATATGCTTACTGTACGACATCAAAACAAGGTATCCTTATCGACAACTAGTTATTGTACGTGTCTGTTTCCATCTAGATGAAGACACTATATTTTAAATGTCTCATAAGAAATGAACAAATATTGACCCCATAGTGATATTCTGTCTTGAAGTGACAGTTAAGTCAAATTATTTACAAGGCAACCTCAGCTGTGTCCTAAGGTAACTTTCCAGGGTTTTGGACCCCAGATTTAATTTGTTTAAGTCAACAGCATACATTTCAAATAATTGAGGACCCCATTCCGACTCAAAGTATCTACAGGAAGTGTATTTTCTGCCTACATCTATTGTCATTAGGTTATCATCCATCCAATACAAATCAAAGCACATCCTGTCCACCGTGACTTGGCCATCAGAAGATGACCTCTGTCCCGTCAGACAAATGACAGGAGGAAGCGCAGGGGTGCTTTCATAAAGCCGCAGCACTTGTAACAGGTGGCAAATTGCATTATGTTTCCATCTGAGCGGCAGAGATCAGGAACACAGATCCACACTCATATTTAAAAAAGAGAGGTTTCTAATCATCAGGATTGTCATGTGACATCATTTAGCGACAGAATGTAGCCTGTGTGAGCTGGGCTGTGCATCAAAGGAAGTGTAACAAGGTTTGGGAGATGGGTTTCGGTCAGCCGGCCCCAGTCTTAACAAGGTTACATGTTTAGAACCCAGGAGCTTCCAAGTCCTAAAGGTTGATATGGACAATTCATCACAAAGCTTGTCCATTGAAAACACAAAGCCCATTCATCCATGAACCCATTGTAGGTTTATGATGTTTCCTAGTATATTCGAACAACCTGCAAATTAAACAATTCATACAAAGTATTTTTTCTTACGCTATAAGGGTCGAAGCTGGCAGGCTTAAGGAGTCTTAAGAAAGACATGTATAACGTTTGTAACAATATTTTTAGCCCACAGAAAAGGTTAAGCCAAACAGAACTTAACCCAGGCTATGCTCACTAAACTTTGACTAAATACAACTGAAAAGACTAAATTGGCCTAACATTTTTTTAAACAAAGTGTTAACTTAAAGGCAAACACTACCAGCTAAACTACAAATAACATAGAACAGAAGAGTATGTTTCTCAGTATATACTGTTTTTGTATAAACTGTTTTTTTCCAGCACCAGCAACCTCAGCACTGGTAACTTTAAGAAATAGAAAAATAGAATGTCTTAAGGCAAACTTATCTAAAGACAAACTAAGGTGTGTTACTCTCCCTGAAGCTAAACATCAGTGTTATATAACGCGTCAGGGGACGGTACAAAGATGCTTGTTGACTTCTTTGGCTTTAGGGGACAGACGTTTATGAACACAGATGTACGGGGGCTCCTCTAAGGCAAAATCATTCTGAATTTAAGAAGCATTCCCTTTTATTTTCTATGCGTATTTATGTTTTTACTGATATAAAAGACTGACCTAGAAGAATGCACTGAAAGCTAAAACAAAATAAAAGTATATTAAAGTGAGTCTTAGGGAGAACAGTGGGCTTTTGTTTCTGACAGTTACCCATGCTGTAATAATTGTTGATGTCCAAATTAAGTTTTATGCTCTTTAAACAGGAGTTTTAGCTTGTCAGGGGTATGACTCAATAAAAACTACTGTCAGCATGTTTAAACCCAGCAGATGAACCAACGTTTGATCCCTCTGTGCTGTTATTCTTGCAGAAGAAAGTGAATTTCCTGTGGTCTTATGTGAATGACCTCGTAGAGCAGAACCAGGTGCTGGTTGAGACCGTTGAGGATCTGCAGAAGGAAGCTGACGACAAGGTTTCCTGTCGGGGAATGAAGCTCCACGCCTCAGATCCCATCCTGAACGTAAGGTGTTATAAATGTTTTTATAGCAATTTGGTTCAATTAAGTAGTTCACCAAGAAAGAGTATTTTTATTTTCTTTGATATTTCTGTTTTACAGTCTTTTTATGCTATTCATTTCCTTTGTCTTTAAGAGATCTATCTGAATGAATTACACGCAGGGTAACTTGGGTAAAAAGTGCTTCAAAGTATACTGTACATATTACCATTCTTTTACTTTTTGGGTATGCGTTTCTCTAAGAATATAAGTTAAGTTAAGTTAAAGCCTTTTATTGTCATTATACACAGAGTATAACGAGATTCAGAGTGCAATATAGTAACATCTTCATGTATTGGGACCAAATATATCTCCTGAAGACAAATATTCATCAATGAAATATAACCATAAAAAGACTACAACCTTAAAAATGTTAAATCTAATCCAATCTCTACACCCTGATAATACTGAGACTCCTTGAGTGTGCCATTATGAATAAAGAGCACACAAAGGAATTCATTTGCAAACCCAACTTTTATCCTTGGGATTTTATACAAATAAAGGTCAGGTATTTGGTAATAAGTGAAGCAGCGTATGTCAAAAGGAGGACATTCCTAATCGTAAACGCCATCTAAATACAAATACCAAAATGCATAAGCACGGCAGAATTAACACAAAAGAGAGAAAATAACAAAGCAAGTTTAAAACGGAATAACAGCTCACGGCTTTCTTTGCTATGCTGCCGTATCTGCCTCCAAGAACATTTCTTTGTGTGCACTTCTCGAGGCCAAGGCATCTTTGACTTTAGAGAATTCAATCAGCGGAGATCAGACCCTGACTGTGGTTAACAGTTAAGACCATGAGAATCCCTCACTGTTTACACAGAACAATATCAGTGTGCAGAATATTGGCATTGCAGAAAAGCATTATGGACGAGCCTGGAGCCGCGCAACAGTTTCTGTTTTTAATGCCTCGTGCAGTTGTGGTATATGACTGCATGTAAGCTGAAAAAAGTCCTCTCTTATTATTTCTTAAGTTTGTGGCCATTTTCTGGAGGAAAACATACATTATTAGTCATTCTAAGAAGAGTGGAGGTGGGAAGCTGAGTGCAGAAATGCTTTACCAAATGTATTCTTTTGTCCAAGATTGCATCAACACAAGGTAGGAATGTATGGACATCACCACTTGATGTAGTGGCCGTAAGGTATTGTTATAGTTAGGCCCAGGCTTCATTCAAGATTCCCCCTTCGGAGTGAATTTTGCACACAGAAAAATAATTATGGTCTTTTATCCATCAAAGTACTTATCTGCTTTTATGGAGAAGGTCAGAGGGCTTGCTTTGTGTGCTCTCTGCGCCGGTCTCAAAGGCTCAGGTAATATAATGCTTTGCACTTCTCAACTCAAAGCTGTCCTTTTTAGCGTTCTGAAATTGTATTTTCCTCAATGACAAATTGCTTAATCAAAACAGAAAATAAATCCTTGGTTTCTCTTCCATAGTGTTTTCTTAGATGCCTTTACTTAATAGTGTGTACAATATTTTCTTGCAAACTATATCACAATACATGCGTAACGAATGGTAAGAATAACCAAGACCTTTAAGAGTTTTCACATGTGTTCACTGTAATTGAATTGTAGGCACTTTTATTTATTTAGCTCTTTGGCAGAAGAACATGCAGCTAAAGAGTAATGGGTGAGAAAAATGTGGAAAGTGATAAAATGAAATTCTCTCAGCTGACTCCTTTTGTTCATTCAGTTGCACAAGTTCGTTTAGCCGCCAAAAGACACAGTGTGAGGGAAGTGTTGCCGTGCTATCGACCCTGGTTCGGCTTTTGAATCTCCATTTTCACCCGTCTTAAACGATGCTCTCACTGTCTGTTTCGGTTACTTTGTATGTTTTCAGGGTCTAGATTGGTAAACAAATACAAATAAATGGACTCCTTCACTCAACAGTCTATTAGGATAGCCAGGGGACAACAGTGTGTTTCTGCTCTGATGTCCATAATGTGAAATCCAATCAAATGAAGAGCATTTAGAGCTACTTATGGACCGTTCCACCATGTAAACGATGCAATGAGCTCTGTAATAGGAGCTTTGCTAACGTCTGATTGAATCGTAGTGTATGGTCTTGTTGATGCACAATAGGCTTGAACTGTAATGGACACTAAACAGAGTTTGTTTTGTGGTCATAATATCATGAAATCCAAGGCTTGTGTTCTCTGTTCTAGACTGCTGCAATTAGCCTGTTGACTATATGTCATCCATCCAAGGACAGATGTAGCATCATCATGTTCCCTGCATACTTTATAACCCTGAATTAAATAGTACTTTGAGAATTATACCGAATGTCTATGTTAACCTGTGGTTACAGGAAATGCTTTCAGTACGCATAAGTTCAGTTCAATATTGAAGTCATAAGAACAAAAGTTTTGACTCGACTGTCCTTACCTGATGAACCCCACCAGCTTCTCCCTGGTCTAAACTTTCTTTAGTCATTCTATGCCACAGTCATTGCAGTGAACTTCAATTCATCCTGTCATGTTTCATTGACGCAGGTATTTAAGGATTATTAAAAATCATAGAAAGTTGTTCCAGTTGCAGATAGACTCTAAAACAGCACTCAGAGTATCTGTACTCGTGTTAGGAAGTAGACTCCCAGTCCTTGCGGTGCTCTTTCCAGTATCACTTTCCATAGCTGGCAGATTTTCCAGCCAATGAAAAATGATGGAAAAACTTTCTTTGTCTCATTCGGTTACAATAAAAAGCATTATTATGAGTGCTGAGGAGTTCTTCAAAGAAATGTCCTTTAGTCCTCTGGTTTATACTCTTGTTGGTCATTTTGGCATCTTAAGGATTAGTAATAATATAATACAATAAAATTGGCACTTCCATTGAACTCTATAGTGATGTTTTTTCCACTTGCGTTCTTCCAGAGAGGTCAAAGTCACAAAAGCAGCTACAGAACAACTTAGTGGCAAGGATTCAGTATCGTGCTTGAGGACACTTTTGTTGGCCAGATTGTGGGTTTCAATGAGTGGGAAGATGAATAAAGCACCCTCGTTTTGAGACATATAAAATAGGGAAATGTTAATAACATGGCTCAGTCGGTAGTTGTAGGTTTAACTCTTTAGTCCAGAGCTTTCTGTTATCATTTGGTCCTTTTAAGTCTTTGATAAGGTATGTTTTTTACATCCGTTATAGTATCCTGGCTTTTTTTCACATTTTGTTTGTGTGTGTGCACATTATGTGCAGTCTGTGTGTCTATTGGGTAGATTTCTTAATTCCCAGAGTTTAGCCTCTGGCCTGCGGGGCAGTGTGGGGGACTGTGGAGGCCTGAGGGGGATCAGTGTAGATCAGAACAGATCAGTAGGGATCATTTGGGATCACTGGCCTTGTCTTTGATCCACTCATCCTGTCATCTCACCATTCCCACACAATTCTCAAATGATTACCATACCAGAAATATACAAACATGTTAGTAAACACATTTTTCAGACTGGAGACGTGTGCTTCTTGCAAATTACATTGAAAGCGTCCCATTTTCTATGCTTGTTAGCTCTTCTTCTTTATAAAAAACAGGGCTAACAACTTAAACCTAATTTATTTTGTCTTATTTGTATCCGAGGAGAAGCAAATGGCTTATAACAAGTGTCGACAATAAATTTGCCAACTGAAAGTCGGGAAAGTCTCCAGCTGTGATGAGAGTCTCCAATTTTTGGTGCGATTCACAAAGTGACTATTTATGACATTGCCTATAAACCACAGAACAGGGGCTATAAAAATGCTCTGGAACCAAATGAGAAAATTGGCCTCATGACTTAATCCATGCTAATGAGGACATCATTTTTCCTGTCATGGGGAGAAACCCTCCATTGAAGCTCTCTAAAGAGCCATTTTCAACTACGCAGTACATAACAAAATAAGTAACTTGTGGCTTTTGGAGGAAAACTTTAATGGAAATAACAAAAACAGCCTTCTTCTAAGGATGACCACAGCTTTTAGAATTGATACAGTTCTCAACCACACATCATCCGGATGCATTGAGAATAACTACATTTCATTCAGCAACTTGGAATAAGTGCGTTTAACCATGAAGAGAATCTTGCAGGTACAGAGAGATGAACCTTTGTAGGTGCTACTGCATCGGCTTCAAAATAAGCCACACCTTTCTAAATGCTAAGTACAAAAGAGATCCTTTTTGTTTACCAAGGTGCGGTGGATCCAGATGGGTTTTAGCATAGTTAAAAGTCGTGATTTTGTTTAGGGGAACTATAGTCTCACTCGCAGAGAGGTATTTGGGAGCCGATTGGTGCACATGCTGGAGTGTATGGTTTAGTTATTTTCTGGGAGTAGGAAAGGCCTGATTCCTTCACAGCCTCGCAGGCCAGTACAAGTGTCTTGAAGCGGAGGAAAATATGTAGCATTTTATCAGCAAGTTAAATGTCATGCTTTTTGGGTTCCCCTTGTGTGTTATGAAGGTTTTTCGGCATGTAAACGGTCTGCATGTCACAAACCCTCAAAGTACACCCTGTAGCGAGTAAAACTCTAACACAGAAAAGACCTGTCTATGCTGCCCCAGAACGCCTCGTCGGAGAATTCTCATTTTCCATTGTTTGCTTCCTGGGTTCTGTGACGTGTGAACACCCAAATCAACAACAAATGACCGGATTGGCCCAAATGGACCAATCCGCGGAGCACCTCACACACCAGGATCCCTTGGCTAACTAACAGGGAGTCCCCATTGACTTGCATAGAGCTCCCTGAACGCTGGTAATAGACGAGTTGGGATGGCGGAGAAATGCTCTCCGCAGACCCATTCTCACAGCGTTACAAACCTTTTTCTTACTCGATATCAAGCCACACTTATTGTTTTTACTTCGCCTGTGAGTGTTTGTGTGTGCTCAGGATGAGTTTCGCTTGTTCTCGCTGTATCGCCAACCCGGAAACCTGTCCGCTCCTCGCAGCAGCAACGAGCCTCGCAACGTCCCGACCAATCAGAGCACACTGGGCTCACAGGGAGGGGGGGGGGG